ATTTGATGGCCAAGCGCGAGAAGCTCCTGGGCGAGAAGAAAGGCCGTGAGCGCAAACTGACGGACCTCAAGAACGCCGTTGAAGCGCTGTGGGAACGTTTCGGAGTCGAAGACGCCGACAGAAAGGCTTTCATGAATGCGAACCGTGGCTGCGGACTTAGGACGATCAATGAGTTCGAGGACGAGTTGAGTCGCCTAAATGAGCTGAAGAGACAGAACCTGCACTTGTTCGTGGAAGATGCTCGGTGTCGACTTCAAGAGCTTTGGGATAGCCTTTACTTCTCGGAAGAAGAGATGCTTGACTTTACGCCTGCCTTTTCTGATGTTTGCAGCGATGCACTGCTAGAGGCGCACGAAGCTGAAATCGCGCGACTAGAGACCTTGAAGGAACAGCGCGCCCCGACTCTGCAACTAATTGAGAAGCATAAGAGCCTCCTATCAGAGCGTGAGGCACTGGCTGTTTCAAGTCAGGACGCATCCCGTCTTATGGCTCGCGGAAACAAGGGCGAGAGACGTGACCCCGGAAAGCTGCTAAGAGAAGAGAAGATGAGAAAGAGGATTGCCAAGGAGCTGCCCAAGGTAGAAGCTGATTTGCGCAAAGAGCTGGAGAGGTGGGAGGATGAGTATGGCCGGCCATTCCTCGTCCATGGAGAACGGTACCTCGACGAACTCACCCCAGTTGTTGCAAAGCCTCCTCCGCGCTCCAAGACTCCTGGACCTACCAGTGCAAAGCGTCCCACCCCAGCACAACCTCCTCGTCCGGCTAGTGTCATGAGTTCCCGGCCTGGTAGTGCCATGCGAGGACCTTTGCCGCCGCGCTCGGCTTCCAAGACACCTACTGCCCACCCAACAACAAAATACAACACCATTGGACCTGCTGCTGGTAGGGCAGGAGCCAAGTCACCCTCGAAGATTCCAGCTCGTGTTCCCTTGGGCAATATGCCGCATGGAAACAACTCCCCGCGCCGGGGTGGTCCAGGCACATATTCGTCTAGCACCGTGAACGGTAAGATGCCGGCGCCTCGTGCACCACCGCCGAGGATGCGGGCATTGACCGGAGGTGAGTCGAGGGAAGATCGAGCGGCATACCTCTTTGAGCCACCCCGATCTGCCAGTGCCTTGTCGAATTCATTCGTGCGACCAGTCAGCCCAGAGGATGTGTATGATGATCGTAATCAACGCTCTTTTGTCAGCTCTTCCGCGTTCTCTCAACGCTCCACTGGATTTTCCCAATCATCCCACTCTTCAGCTTCGTCCCTGTCCTTGAGCTCCTCTATGCAAGGCTACCCCAAGCCAAACCCATATTTGCAGCAAATGCCCCCACCGCCAGCGCCGAGACAAGTCTCGAACTCCACGGTGCAGACCGCAGTATCCGGGTCAGAGAACTGGGAGACTTTCGATGACGGTTCGGAATCCGAAGCAGACGCTAGCGACGTGTACTATGCAAAGCTTCGTGCTGCACATGGGAAGCGACTGGCCGATCCTGAGGAGAACCAGAACCGCTCCCTTGCAGGCAAGAAAGCCAAAGGCATTCGAAGCGTAAGCCCAGATGAGCCAGCTTCCCAGATGGGGAACATGGTTCGAGTCAGCGACGCCGAGTGGACGGACGACCTGGAGCCGTATTGAAGCCTCCGATAGCCTTTCGTTGACCTAATGACCCTACTCGAGACCTTCAGGGGTCTCTGAAAGAACGTGATAACGAGACGACTCGACGTTGACGATTTCACGAACGACCCTGAAGCCCTCTTTCTGTCACTATCCCCTATCCCAACACGCGCCATAATCGTTGAGCTTTTTACGGCGTCAACAACGGCTTGCGCAATTGCGCTTAGCTAACCAACCATCTTAATTTCTTCTGTTAAAATTCGGAATTATACCACGTGCGTTATGTTCTGGCTTATCTGGACGCTCAACCTTGGATTCCTTTTGCGTCCCACTTACTTCTACCACTCTGCCACTCACTGCGTGATAGGCAGGGCCCGACAACCCGCGACCGAATGCAGCATGTCGTTCCCTGATGTCAAAAAGAAACAAAGGACTACGGAACCAGGCGTCGTTTTGTATCATGCCTTTTTTGCTCTATGTTTGAATAATTTACCTCTACCCGGACTGGGATAGACGGGGGTTGGTGTTCCTCCTGCGACTCCTCCCTCCTTTTCTTTTTTATGATAATTCGTTCGATTACTCGATTACCGACTTTGAATCTTCTCTTCTCTTGGTGTGGCTCTCTGAATCTTTTTCTTCTTTTTGTCTTCTATGGACGCGTGTATTAAGTCCCTGGCATGCTTTTACCTCTATTTCTGTTGTGATATCAGCGCGGTTTGTGTTATGCTTTAGCCGCTAAGTTTTATGGTTTCATGTCCTAGCAATGGATAGTATTTATTTCACTTTTCTACTTACTTTTGCCTACTTGAAGATAAGATCGAGCTGTAGGATAGTATGATAGATGAAATATAAAGCTGTAACATGGTTCTAGTAGTAATCCTATTCTACACTTATTATACACTTCATACATACAAACACAACACCATCCATCCATCCATCTCACACTTCTATAATCCCCCCTAAGAAGACTCAGAAGAAGGAGCCAACGACCCCATCCAAGACCGATCCTCACCCAAACTCTCCACCCCCTGCTTAACCCGTCTCGTCGGCCCAGGCACCAAATGCTTCGTCAACTCCTTCGCCTCCTGTACTCTCCTTACCGTCTCCTCTCTCCCCAAGATAGCCATCGTCTCTGGAATTCCAGGACCCGGTGCACCAGCCGACAACGCCCAGCGAAGATAGTGATACAGTTCCTTCTTGAATGCCTTGTCGGCGGCTTTTTGCGCCTTGGTGGATTCTTCGGGAGTGAGGGTTGCGCCTTCAGGGTCCGGGCTGGTGCCGTCGTAGGCGGTTATGTTTGCGCGGTGGGTTTCGAGTGTCCAGTGTGCGGGCGGCACGAGGGTGAGTGCGAAGCTGGCGGTGTGGAGGGAGGTTAAGGGGATTGTGGTCGTCGTGGAGGAGGGGGTGTAGGGGGGTCGGGTGAGGGATTGGGTGAAGAAGGTTGAGTTGCGGGTTGTGAAGTCGGTGGCGTTGGTGTAGGATTTGGCGTCGGCGCGGAGGAGAGGGGCGATGTAGGTTTGTAGGGAGCGGGATTGGAGGAGGGGGTGCTGTGGGTGAGTAAGTGGTTAGTTGTTTTGTTTCGTGGATGTATGTATAGGGTAAGGGAGGGGGACGTACAGTTGCGCCGCTGGGTAGGTCTTCTCGACTTCTTCGGAGACCTTGGTCACCATCTCAGTGAACTCGGGGGCGTCGGTGGAGGCGAAGCGTTGGGCGTGCGCTTTCTGGAGGAACCAGAGCTTTTCGAAGGCCACGACGGTGTTGCCGCGGGTGATTTTGAGGTTGAACTGTTGGGTGTTAGTGGGTTTGAGTGAATGAGTGAAGGGAGAGGTAGAGGAACGAACGAGTTGCTCTAGCTCTTCAAGGTTGAAGATGTCCGATTTCTGGGTGTGCGACCAGCCCAGGAGAGCGGCAAAGTTCACGAGAGTGGCAGCGAAAATGCCCTGGGTGTCTTTGAAGAAGCTGAGATCGATATCCGCATTGCGCTTGCTGAGCTTCTGTCCTGACTTGTCTACGAGCAGAGGTACGTGACCGAACTGGGGAGGCGTCCACTTGAAGGCGTTGTAGAGCGCGACGTGCATGGGGGTCGAGGGCATCCATTCCTGCGATAGTGTCAGCTTGCGCATCGTCTTTGGTATCTCTTCCATCGCAGCTTACCGTTCCTCGAATGACATGGGTGATCTTCATGAGATGATCATCCACCACGTTCGCCAGATGATAGGTCGGGTGTCCGTCGGATTTGATCAAGATAGGATCATCATAGACACGCTCGATCAGATCCAACTTGTTCGGCGAGCGGTTCTGACCTGTCTTTCCGTACACTAGATCATTGAACATTGGGTATCCCTCCACCTTCAGTCGAACGACATGCGCTTCGCCCTTGGCCGCTCTCTCTTCCGACTCCTCCGCTGAGACCTCCCCGCATTTCCTATCGTAACCGGCCGGCAGTCCAGCTTGGCTGCGATGTCTGGCGAAAGCGTCCAATCGATCGGCGGAGCAGAAGCAGCGGTAGGCGTGGCCGTTCTCGATCAATTCCTGCGCGTGGGAGCGGTAGATGGAGGTTCGTTCGGACTGGAGATTCTCTCAGTAACTGAATCTAATATGAGCATGTGTCCTTCTATCATACCTGTCTGTAGGGACCGTACGGACCACCGACGACCGGACCTGTAGAGAGCAATCATCCGTTAGCCATCTAACTAGCCTAGATCCGTTCCACGCGAATTGTCTCCGCACCTTCATCCCAATGCAATCCAGCCCACCGAAGGTCATCATAAAGCCTCTGCTCAGCATCCGGAATTGTACGTTTCTGTAGCCAATCCCTCAATTAGCCCTACCTCCTTCCAACGTTGATCCGCAGCTGTTTGGCCAGCTAATCACCGCACCTGATCCGTATCCTCAATGCGCAGCAAGAACTGTCCCCCGGTGCGCTTCGCCAAAAGGTAATTGAACAGGGCCGTCCGCAAAGATCCCAAATGAAGATAACCGGTCGGAGACGGTGCGAATCGAGTCCTCGCCGGTAAGTCAGGCAACTTGGTCTTCTTGTTGATCGTATTGTTATTGCCGGCGCGGAGATTCGATGCCGGCGCGATGGAGGAATACCGGGCTCGGCATTGAGTGCAGACCCAAGGACGACGGGCCCAGACGGTCGGGGTTGTTGGGCGCCTCAGCATCGCGAGTGACAGGACGGATCTTAAGAATGCCGATGGTAATGCTATAGAAGATGCGCTGAAGCTGGGGAAAATCAATGGCGGAGAAAGAAAGATAAATCCCGACAGAAAAGGCGGAAAACGCAATTAAAAGTGATGTGATTGGTGGATATCGGGCGGCAATAAATAATTATCGGGCGGTGCTTTTATCGCGATTGCTTTGCCTTTTTACTTTCACTGCCTCAGCCGCTCTCTCTCTTTTCTCTCTCCCCCTCTATTTACTTGGTCGCCAGGAACACACGGCTTTGCTGGCTTTAGACTTTGCTCTTTTTTAATTTTGCTTGTTGTTTATACTGTTCTCGTTGATACCCTTTATTCGTCGCTCGTGTTCGTTGGGGATCTTACTCTCTACTTCCTACTATCAGTATGTGTTCCCGCTATCGCCTAAAAAATCAGACATTACTAGCTTGAGGTTCCAGTATGCTGACTGATTTGGTCTGGTTTAGTGTCGAAAGCGGACGTTGACCTCTATGGTATATATATTGTCTACTCTTATTCTTTGCTTAAAAAAATGCGAAAAGCCTACACTAGCACCAGCGACTAATTATAATGTGATGGATCATAGAGGTCTTGGGCATTGACAAGAGTGCCAGCAAGGATGACGTCCGGAAGGCTTATCGCAAGGTATGCAGCTTCTCTATATCGGTCGCAGTGTCCAAGCACAGTCTAATATATCCTTTTATCTTATAGGCCGCCCTAGCAAACCACCCCGACAAAGTCCCCGAAGCCGAAAGAGAAGAAGCAGAGGTTCGATTCAAGGCCGTGCAGGAAGCCTACGACATCCTCTACGACGAAGAAAAGCGTGAAATCTATGATACCCACGGAATGGGCGCTTTCAACGGCTCCGGTGAACCGGGTATGGGCGCGGGCCCTGATCTGGATGATATTCTTGCGCAGATGTTCGGTGGTATGGGAGGTATGGGAGGTATGGGCGGCATGGGCGGCATGCCCGGTGGACCGCATGCGCGTAAGCCGCGCAAGAGCCCGGATGAGGAGCAGAAGTATGAGGTTCGCCTGGAGGATCTGTACAAGGGCAAGACAGTCAAGTTTGCTAGTACGAAGAACGTGATTTGCTCTCATTGTCAGGGCAAGGGTGGTAAGGAGAGGGCGACGGCCAGGAAGTGCTCCACTTGCGATGGTGAAGGTAGGTTTATACACTTTGGAACTTGCTGTGCAGAATTTCGGGCTAATGTGCTCAGGTTACAAGCAAATTTTGCGCCCGATGGGTCAGTTCCTGTCTCCGGCTATGGTGCCCTGCCCTACCTGTAACGGAGCGGGTGACTACTTTGTCGACAAGGATAAGTGCAAGAAGTGCAAGGGCAAGAAGACCACCGAGGCCAAGAAGATGCTGGAGATCTACATCCCTCGCGGGGCGAGGTGAGTCTGCTATATGTAGCACTGTCTGTAGTGTAATAACTAACTCTGTGTTAGGGAAGGAGACAAGATCATCCTCGAGGGCGAGGCCGACCAGGTGCCGGGTCAGGAACCTGGAGATATCGTTTTCCACATCGTGGAAGAGGAGCATGAGACTTTCCGAAGGGCTGCTGCCGACCTGACAGCAACAATCGATGTTACGCTGGCCGAGGCCCTGACGGGCTTCTCCCGGGTGGTGGTCAAGCACCTTGACGGTCGCGGAATCGAAATCCAGCACCCCAAGACCCCCGGTGAGGTTCTTTACCCGGGCCAGGTCCTGAAGGTTCCTGGTGAGGGTATGCCCATCAAGCGCAGCGATGCTCGCGGCGACCTGTACCTGGTCGTCAACATTAAGTTCCCCGACGGGCAATGGAAGCCCAGCCCTGCTGTTCTGGAGCAGCTCAAGGAACTGTTGCCCAAGCCGGAACCCCCCATTCAGGCTGACACCGTGGACGAGGTGGAATTCGACCCCAAGGGCAACCTAGATGACTTTGGGGCGCATGACCCCGAAGGGGGTTCTGCCTGGGAGGATGACGATGAGGGTGAGACAACTGCTCAGTGTGCGACGCAGTAGACTCTTGGCATGCTTATGCTTTCTCTGTATCTGTTTTGCCTCTGCTCCTTCTTTTGTTTTTGTCCTTTTCAAGGACATTATACCTCTCTGCTTGTTCACCTCATGATGATAGACTCGTTGGCTGCTTCTGGATCAGCTCCCCTCTCGCATCGTGGGCGTTTCGGGTCAACTTTTATGGATTGATCGATGAGACAAATATAGTTTTATGATGGGAATGATGATTGTTGAGTGTGCAACTCTTGGTGCCGTCCAATGTAGACAAATGACCTTGTGCAGAGAGCTTCTTAATCTGAGTCATGACTCCTATCAGCCAATGAACCACCGATGCGCCTACGATTTTGTGACTACGGAGAAAGACATCGGTGGACATGCTGACGCATACATATCCAGGAGCATGTCATGGCATGTCGAGGGACTGACTTTGTTGGAAGGAACATAAAAGGACCGTCAATACCTGGATATAGTTCTGCCTACTCTGTCTTATCGACAAGGTATTGACTAGCCTAGTACTTTTACATCTTACTGACTTGGCAGGATATATTGTTTTCTTGATGTTCTAGAATTATTGTAGGTGCTTTAGAGGATGGTGGGTATCATCAATGTGCAGAAGTATTTGGTCTCGCACTCACTACACTCCCTCTCTCTACACGAAACTGTCGACACATACCAAACATCCAACACGTACTCTTCGGATGACCGCAGCCCCTTAAATAACATGCGACTTTTAGCTTTATAAAAGCTGTATAAGAGTTTTGTTGGCTACCTTGCTCGGTTTGAACCAGCCGTTATACAGACAAGGCCGGCACTTATGAGCGACTTTCTTGGCTTCCCGGTACCCCCATCGTCCGGAAGGACACCTGAGGTGCCCCTTTTTTGCGTGTTCAGGGCGCTTGACAGATTCGTTATTCAGGCTGTGGGCGCAAAAATAGCGAATTCGATACTGTGTACAAACGTATGTAGCTTGCAGTAGACTCATCAAGATTGAGTAGTTTGATACCTTTGCTTATGCGGGCCTTGGCAAAATCATTTCGGAACAAGTCGAATAATAGCCCAAATCATTTTTGTTTCTGCTTTGTCGAGAAGGAGCGTCTGTAAAAAATGCCGTCCACATTCTGAGTGTTAATGTCCACCACCGTTTGGAGACATCTGGTAAGAAAATCCCCAGCGGACCAACCACTGGTGTCAGGATATAGATCACTGAACTTGGTGTCGCCTGCTAATTTAGCAGATTCAAGCTTCGTTATTATTGTCTCAAATGACTCTCCGCGTTCTATGGCACCCCCCGTTGAGGCATGGTTCGTGGTATGGGAAAATAAATCAATAGCGTTATAATAGAAGCGATTTCACGTGTTGGATATGCGCCCAAGTAGAAGCCCTCAATGGATGTACGTAATTCAAGAGTAGATCGATGTGCAGAGTCGTTGATTAGGAAGGCTGGGTTTCCTTTCAATAGTATGCGAGTGGAAAACGTCCAGGGCTATCAGTGACTTAACGTGTATATACCCTCATTATTGGCTGTACAAGGTGCTTAATTGAATGGTCTCAGCATTCAAAGCTGAAGCCCTCCGAATGGAATAGGCCTGAGAACCAGCGAATGAACCGATGTGTCCGCAATAACATAGTCATTGTCCCATTCTCTGATCCTAGGCAACCAAGCTTTGAGGCAGCAACAGCTAGCTATTGGATTATGCCATTGGTGAGTGTGAATGGTGGCCAGCCTCGCCAGTAGCATGAACTTGGTGTTTTGGATAACAAGTTCAGGCAAGTTTAGGATTTGAGCTGACACAGAGATTTTCAAAGTCAATGGATTTTGCTCCATTGTCGGTGATGAATATGTTGTCCCTGTTGATATCTCCATGTAATATATCGAGATTGTGAAGTTTTTGTAAAGCACTTTCACTTATCTCAAAGTCTAAAGCGTTTAGGTGATATCCACAGACTTCTTCAATGGTAAATAGGATGACACGATGTGGCATCTCGTGGAAGACATATCCAAGAATGATTTGGGACCAATGCTGAATCATCTTGCGTCAGTATATGGTGAATTAAGATATCTCCTGTGCAAGCCAGCCAAGCTCAAAGTCGCCAGGTTTTTGCCGATTTTGTGAGGCATGAGGCCTGAATAAATCACATTTCGCTTCGAATGCCACTCTCATCCTTATGGACAGTCAGAGTTTCCCAAGTTTTGAGCTGTTAGCTTAGCTTTGATAGTTCAAGTATCACTTCGGGGTGGTAAGTTCGCGATTGATCTGGAATTGTATCCAAATTCTCAAGCGTAACATACATCACCGTTGTGCTGTATGTGAAGTTGATAAAAGCACAGAACATGTGGATCACTGGGTATATATCGCTTGTCTTTATCACGTGGCAGAGGCGGTCTCACACCAGATTGCATGAATGCATCTTACTGCCTGTGATGTTATGTTGTGGTGGTGACTGATGCATGCTTGAATGCTATGTGTATTCATCAAAGACTTTCAATCCTCGAGCAGAGAAAGAGAGCTCTACATCAGGGGAGTCAGGCTACTTCATATATTTCAGTAGCTGATTACAGTACCTATCCGGCAAGTTCCTTCCCTCCCCTTCATCTTCTCCTGATACTATCATACCACTAATCCGGTTCTTTCCTGTAAGCCTCTCAGCTTTTGTCTGCTGACCTTGTCGGTACTAAGTAACTTACTAGCTTCTGTTTCTTGAACATATCTCCCCCGGCTGTTGCCGTCCTTAGTTCTCGGATATTTCTAGTTCTAAAGTACTTTCACTATCCTGAGTAGTATTTTGAATCATGAATAGAAATAATTCAGTATCAGAAAGCTTAACATGTAGGTATGAGATCCTTTACTCCAAATTACTATAGCATGACCGTGGCCTTGTTCCCAGTTTCACTTCTGATTGGCTGCTGTCTAAGTTCTGCAGAAATATGGCTCTTCCATTGGTTGGTTGCATTTTGCGGGTTGCCCACACTGGCCACTTGCGCACCCCATCAAATATAAGCGGCCAGTCCAAATAGTTTCGTCAACTGGCAAACCAATTTTTGATTTCCTTGTGAGCAGAGCATGTTAGGATCACACGTGAAACAAGTAAATTACTGAATCTGCCAGCCCAACTATTGTATTGCTGAATATTTCTGTTTGTTTCTAATTGCTAGATAAGATTATATCTTTACTTTGCAAGGAAGTGGTAGATAGTCAGAGCCGATGTCACCAGTGAGTGACCTTTTCGCAGTGCCCAAGTGTTAGATAGGTCGTCAACTGGCAAGTCTTTTGCCAATTGTTTTTCACAGCTTGGGAATCCTTCTCTATTTGTTTGTGAGTTATAAGGATAGCATCAAACTTTGTCTACGGTATTTCCGACTCATAAGTGCGGGAAACAGAGTTTCCTAACCCGATCCAACACTACCTATGATGCCGTGCATTGTAAGCTGCACAACACCACAGGTGCTGGCATCGAAGTTTTGACGGCGTTGCAAACCCGGGCTGGTTCAACACAAGTCGGGATGAGGGAATAAATAATGCATGGATACCGAAAGAAGAATTGTAACCCCCATGCTCTTTCTCCAGGCCCCTCCACGCCCCCATGGATATAGCGTGGGGTACACACCTCCCACGGGCTCCATCTCCATCACCTCAACCAACCAACTAAACCAACCCGAGCCGAGAGCCACGCGATCCAAGGCTGATTTCCGAAACATTGGTACAGGGTCCCATCACACCTCCAGCCTGTTTGCAGCTATTTAATTGTCAGCTTTCCCACTGTGCCTGAGTTTCCATTCCAGATTGTTTCCGAGTGGTATTCTAACATTTTTTTTCGCTTTTTCTTCCGCTCTCTTTTGATGTCCCTTTCGGTACGCGGCTAATCTGACTCGGACATTCTCCGCCGATTAACTCGGCACCGGCGCACCGCATTCCTAATCCCGGGGTAACCTTCTCGGTGTCAAGGCGTCAAAAGCAGCGGTCTTCATTTTGCAACCCTGCTTCCACCGTCATAGTGACTTTGAATAGCCATATAGCTAGTGAAGTGCTTGTCGACAGACAACGGACCATCATCCAACATGTCGTGCCAGTCACAGGCTTCATGCGAGGGCTGCTCTTGCAGCGGCAGTGGCAGCAAAGGAGTGGTTAATATTGAAGACTGTGAAACCGAGCTGCTCGCTCTCCGGAAGAAAACCATAGAACTTGAAAAGACTCTTGCATCCATGAAGAGTTCGTCAAGTAGCACACCGAAAGCCGGACGCAAGCTGCGGTCCACCAAGTGGTTTCAGTGCGAAGGCGACCCAGGAATGATGGCCTTGTACATTGAAAGATACCTCAACTATGGTGTTACTAGGGAGGAGCTGATGTCTGGCAAGCCTATTATCGGAATAGCTCAAACCGGATCCGATCTGGCACCGTGCAACCGTCATCACCTAGAGCTTGCCAAAAGGGTCCGAGAGGGTATCAGAACTGCTGGCGGAATCGCCTTTGAGTTCCCCACCCACCCCATTCAAGAGACTAGCCGACGGCCCACCGCTTGTATCGATCGGAACCTTTCTTATCTTGGCCTTGTTGAGATCCTTCATGGCTACTTTTTGGATGGGGTGGTCCTCCTCACCGGGTGCGACAAGACCACCCCGGCATGCCTGATGGCTGCTGCCACAGTCGTACGTTGTTCTGCAAGACTTGCATCTTATTCTTCCACAGCTGCCCAACTGACTCGGATTCCCAGAACATCCCTGCTATATGTCTCAACGTCGGTCCCATGCTTAATGGTTATGTGAAGGATGAACTGGCTGGTTCGGGAATGGTGGTCTGGAAAGGCAGAGAGATGCATGCTGCAGGACAGATCACCACGGAGGAATTTGTAGATTACATCTCCCGCGGGTACGTCACGAAATTCTGGACACGCTTTCCTGGCTTGGACTAACGCTTGGCATTAGTGCACCGTCAGCAGGACATTGCAATACGATGGGTACGGCATCTACCATGAATGCGCTTGCAGAAGCCCTTGGCATGGCCCTGCCTGGGTCAGCTGCCATTCCAGCTCCCTACCGTGAACGAGCCCAATGTGCCTATGAGACCGGATTACAGATCGTAGAGATGGTGCACTCTGATCGCAAGCCAAGTGACATCATGACCAGAGAGGCTTTCGAGAATGTCATTGCTGCCAACACCGCGATTGGCGGCAGTACGAATGCTCCCATTCATATTAACGCCATCGCGAAGCATATTGGGGTGGATCTTTCGCTAGATGACTGGGACCGCATCGGGTTCCACATCCCGCTCTTGCTAAATATGCAGCCGGCGGGGGAGCTGCTAGGGGAGGAGTATTACCGAGCAGGAGGGTTGCCGGCTATTATGGCGGAGCTGCTGGATGCGGGCAAGTTGAATGCAGATGCTGTGACGTGCAATGGCCACACTGTAGCACAAAACGTCCGTGGGAAACATACCTGGAACCGGCGGATGATCAGAGCTTATGACGACCCTCTTCTCAAGGATGCTGGCTTCCTTCACTTGACCGGCACCCTGTTTGACTCGGCCATTATGAAAACATGCGTCATCTCTGAGCCGTTCAGGCAAAAATTCCTAGAGAATCCCGCAGATCCAAATGCATTCGAGGGGTCTGTGGTAGTTTTTGATGGACCGGAGGATTACCATCGTCGGTTAGAGGACCCCTCCACCCCCATCACTGACACAAGTATCCTGGTGATGCGCGGGGCTGGTCCACTGGGCTATCCCGGTGCAGCTGAGGTGGTCAACATGCACCCTCCGGGAAGGCTGCTGCGAGAGGGGGTCAAGTCGCTTCCATGCATTGGTGATGGACGGCAGTCGGGAACTTCAGGATCTCCATCTATCTTGAACGCTAGTCCTGAGGCAGCAGCGGGTGGTAACCTTGCAGTCCTTCGGGATGGAGACCGGCTTCGAGTGGACCTTAACCAGCGGCGGGTAGACATCCTTGTCTCTGCGGACGAATTAAAGAAGCGAAAGCAGGAGCTCGAAGCAAGTGGGGGTTACAATATGCCGGAAAGCCAGACCCCATGGCAGGAGTTATTCCGCAAGGAAACGTCCCAGCTGAACGAAGGAATGGTTCTCCGAGAGGCAGTCAAATACCAACGGCTGGCGCAGCGATACCCGGAGCCCAGGCACAATCACTGAATAATGACTATTTTGTTATGGATTAATCTGAATAATGAAAAAAACCATCACTTCTTTGACCCACCAGCCGCTTGATGGGGTGGCGCGTGCGCGCAACAAAACACAGTTCATCAGGCAGGCTTGTTGCTTGATGATATCATGTTGTGGAAACAGCTCAATACCCACTATAGGAAACGCGATTAGTAGGCATTCAGTACCCGATCAGACCTTAGTCCGGAGGATACACCGCCGGGCCAATAGAGCTGTATGAGCTTAAAAGCTAATGAGCTAGTGAAAGCTAAATTTGGGAAGAGAGTATATGCGAGATAGCATCTCCGCAAGGGTACGTATTAGGTGAAGTTTTGACGCATGGGATGGCACATGGAGCACAGAGTATGGAGGAAGCTTTGAAGGAATGTGAAGCTAAGCTCCAGGCCATCTGGCCACTGCTCAATCACGGGATTCTCAGCCCCTCCTTTGGACTGTTCCGTCTTCTTTTCGTGCCTGGGAAAGAGCGGAAGACGTGCGATCTGTGCGACATCCGTCCGTGAGCCTCTGTTGACTCACTCCCGTCTACCTCTCACCCCCCCTAAACAGTGCCGGTCTTGACACCGCCATAATGCGCTTGATAGCACAGGGGCCTGAGCAACCCTCAGAAACACTTGTTGTGGCCCAGTGGTGAATTGCAGAACAAGGAACCTTGGAATGACTGCACGCCTGCATGAACAACACGGCAAGGCCGTGATAATCCTGGCTTCTGTGATTTGATCCTAAGAATGTAGCTTGGCTCGGCCAAGCTAGCTAATGCGGTGATTATTTCTTTTTTGAACCTCAGTGTTGTTCATCTGCTAAAAGATTTGATAGGAGAACGGCGCTAGTGATATCATGTTTTGGCGATCGCAGCCAGACTAGCTCGTTAAGGCATATTAGCCACATGGTGTGCGACACCAACAATAACAACTATGCTACTACCCTCAGTACTGCAGCCGAAGAAAGGGATAGAAAGTCAAATTTCAGCCGAGGAAGGATCGAGACCAGCCCGAAAATGAGAGCCAAGATCGGGTGATATCGTGATAGAGGTCTCGAACCCCCAAAGTGAAATGTTCACTACGCGATGCCCCGGGTGACTTGATAGGGGGTGGTGGTCGTGATGGAGGCCACCAAGTAAGGACTTGAGTCACCCCATGGAGTAGTGTGCGCCATAGGCACAGCCACCGCAGCCCGGAGGTGAAGTAATTTTAGGCAACTGAATCTAGTGGATGATGTGATCCGTGATGCTCACGTTCGTACTCGAATTCTCTTTTTCATCTCTCTCAATTTTTCGACAGCTGATTGGAATGATACAGTCTATGCATCAAAGCAACACACCTCGCAGCTCGGAAGCAACAATATCCAGGATCGGGATATCAAAATACGGGCCTGGATGGCGGAAAAAGACAGAAGGGAAAAGTTAAAATATCGCCCGAGGGTGGATCCCGTGGGGCTCGGGTTTCCCGCGTCAAAGTTTCCTGTTGCAGGGCAAAGATTCCATTGATTTAGGGCGGGATTAGGGTGATTAGGGTGATTAAAGCCACGGAACGGATCCAGTTGCAAGTTCAGTTGCCCACGCTACCGTTTGGGATGACGGGCGCCTTCTCAGTGTGGTCTAGCCCGTGACATCAAGAAAAATTTTCCACACTTTTCCAGTTTCCACACCCACAATTCTTAGGTCCGTCTGTCTGACTTACTCTGACCTCAGACCGCCCCAGAGGCGCGCACCATCTCGAATTTCCTGCCTCTTTTTAAACCAATCCGGTGCTCGTCATTTGTCCTATTGCTCTCTCGCTCTCTCCCTTCCCTCAATTCCTGCATACGTCTCCTTTGACGGACACCCATGCTCCTTGTTCCCTTCTGTCCAGTCAGATGCGAGCTTGCCACCATGCGGTCCTAAGAAGCGATCTTAAAGAAAGAGCTGTCCACACCGTCCCGCTGCTTCTACTGCTGCGTCTGTTGCTTTAGCTGTCTCGCGGCCCCTCTTCCCAGCTTCCCAGGTCTCCTGGTCCTGTCGATCAGTCCCAATTCCAATAAATAAAGCCCGTCTCAATTCAGATTTTTCTTCCTTCAGGCTTCGCGAAGAAAAAGAAATCTGACCCTCCATTCAACTTTGGGCCGGGCCTAGACTGTCGCCAGGCACGTCTACATATACATACAATCGCACACACCGCATCGTTTCAGCGTGTCGTGCATCTCGCTCTTGCCTTCCCCTGGACTTGAGCCATCTTATCGGAGGCAGTCTCGACGAATTTTTTTTCCTTCATAAAGCACTTGGGGGCACAATCAGCCTTTATTGATTGTTGCCTAACATCCTCTTTTCTTCCTTCATCTTCTACTTTCAGGTTATACTACTTGTTTGTTTAAGATGTACGTCGACTTATAACCCGTCGTTGCAACTCGCAACTCGTTATTTCTTTGATATTCTGTTCATCAGCAAGCGAGCGTTTTCTCGATCTTCTTTTTACACATTTGAAGTTTTCACAAAATCTCTCTCGACATCGTGTCATCCTGAAAAAAAGCAGCCTCATTGATTCTCATTACCATGGCTCCCAACCTCTTTCTCTGTTTGCGGAACGTGTTCTGCCCGACCTACTGGTTTCAGCGTGGAGAACGCATCCAAGGTTCTATCCACAAAGAGGAACATTGGGATAGTCCCGTTCCTGGCATCTACAAGTACATCCCCGGTCGGGGATGGCATCTTGTCTACAAAGACGGCAATGACAGCGATGAGAAAGTGCCTGTCCCGCTTGTCTATTGCCGGATCCTTCACCGTTACATCTTTGAACACGAAATGGAGGAGCGTTGCCGCTGGCACACCGTGGAAATCCACGAAGGCGCCAAGCCAGAAAAATTCATGTTCTTCCTCCTTGATGATGGATACACCTGGGTGGCCGGATGGGATGCCAAGGGCAAATTCATTCCCGGTCCTTACCAGAAATGGCACTATGATGCAGAGTCGAGGACCCTGCGCCGGGTGCTGTTCCCCGAAAGCTCGAATGTGTCCCGGGCTAGCATTTTGCCGAACAAGATGACTTGACCCTTCTCGAGTGGGAACAAACCGAGAACTTCTTTTGCTGTCAACACATTTGCTTGACCATCGTGATGCTATCTGCAGCTGGATTCTACAGAACATGCGGTGGTCGAATGCGCTTGCACACGACTGATTGATTGCTATATGGGATAGCGTTTAAGCGAGGTGTCTTTCTTATTTGCTTCCTTTTTTTTTTCTTGTTTGCCTTTGCTACTTTTTTATGATGACATTCACACATGAGCCTGTAATGCTGGGATGAATCTGCTTTTCTGCAGTGACCTTGTTTACAAAGCGACAATGGCGTTCGGGTCAAGGTCATAGAAGATCGGATAGACATTGCGATAGAGCGCATGGGGGTTTGGCTTGTCGTCTTCTTATTCATTTCACATCTTCTGTATTTGTTATATTTCGGGTGACTGATCATTCAGCGAACCGCACAATGGAGCAAAGGACAGTCTATTTTTACGCACTACATACTTAGTTTTTTAGTATGAACGTATTTGTCATGGATCACTTGAAGCTCAAAATTGAGAGATGTACTCGGGTAGACATTGTGGGAAAGTTTAGCGCATGCAAGTCCGGGTATGGATGGGATCGACATGACAGCTGCATGAGATGTATCGTCGCAGAAGTCTTCTTCCTTTACTTACTGTAATAAGTACTCTACTGCACTTTTTCACATGTGAGTCGGAATCAAATCGGGATTGCCGTGGTCCTATGGATGACATTTACCTGCTCCTCCCAGTAGTCCAATCTACCTCTACACCAGCCATCTGATACATAAGACATCCACATCCACATCCACAACATTAAACAGCCAATAAATGCCACCAGGACACTTAATATAACACTCAGTATAACCGCACCCCCTCCTATCAACTATATACAAAATCCCAGACCAAATATCCATCCCATTCACCAGGAACAGAACATGTCTCACCACCATTCCCTCAAAACCCTACTTAGTACCTACCTACCTACCTACAACTTCGCCCCCTTCCCACCACCGCCAACAGCAGTATCGCTCACAACCAACCTCTCCAACCCCCTCCTAACACCCACCTCCATCCCCTCCCTCGTCGGCCTCATCGTCTCCCTCGCCACAAACACATGCGTATACCCCCCAACAACCTTGACTTCTTCCTCTCCCTCCTTAAACACCCCGACTTCATACGTCACGCTGCTATTCCCCAGCTTCGTGACCCGCAGCCCCAGGTCTAGTATATCTGGGAATGAGACGGAGGAGAAGTAGTCGCAGTAGGAGGAGACCATTATCCCGACTTGGCTGCTTTTGAATTTAGGTGGTGTAGATGAGGAGGTGGTGGTGGTGGTGGAGGAGGGGTCAGGTGTAGTGAGCGTGGGGTTGTTGTGCGTGAAGGGATCCATCCCGCAGTGCGTGATTAAATACGTGTTTATTATGCTGTCGAAGAGCATGGCGTAGACTGTGTTGTTGAGGTGGGCGTACATGTCGTTGTCGAACCTGGATTTTATCTGTTAGAGGTGATGGATGGATGGGGTGGGGGAGGGTGGTGGTGGCTCACCATCTTGTTCGGTGCGTTTGGTGGTAGATGTAGTCGCTTCGGAGACGGCGCTTTTTGTGCGCTATTGAGGTGGACATTTTACGGTGGGTTTGTGTGTGTGTATAGGTGGAGTGGTTGTTGGTGTTGAGAAAATGTTGGTGAAGTTTAATGTTGTCTATATGGTAGATTGAGGGGATGGGGATGGGTAGGTTGGAGCTACCGAGTTGAGCCGAGGCATAAAGCCGCCGCCCTGACTGAGTAACAGTAACTGGGGTGAGAGTGCCCACGGGGTGGGAGGATCGGGTCACCCGAGGGCCGTTCTTTGGGCGGTCACCCCTGGCGGGATTCTGCTCAGGTTCAAGCAGTGTTCAGTGAAACGATTCTAACTTTCAGGGATTTTCAAGCATTGTTTATTACTTTTACATTGTTTATTATCTCGTATATTCAAGCCATTGTATGTTATTTTTACTGGTATTAATACAGTCCACTATGAACTTGTCAACCACGGATCTGTCAATAGTTCGGGGGCTCTCTGTCTCTCTTCTGGATCCCATCGAAGCATCTTTCTCATAAAGTTCATGAACATCTGCTTGTTCTCGCCTTCTAGATACTCTTCTGAGTCATCCAATGAAATGGATGGGATTTTCTCAGAAGCCTTCCATTGACCTACAATTGATAAGCTAGTGGATAGAAATGCTCTAACGATGAAGCTATACCTGACGAGTCCCAGTATTCCAGGCTGCGAGGTGATCTACGAAGAAACTCCACTGGTGGAGGCCCCAGCATCGCTATTATTTCGGCCAGAAGTTGCGCATCTGAATGGCAAGCGTCTGATTCTCTACCATCAAATAGGTGGTGGTCTTCGAAGAGATCCCAGATCTTGAGTCTCATATTAGCCGATGCCAGGGTGAAAAAGTATAGTAGAGGGCCAGTAAAAGCTGCTGCTGCGCCCCTTTTAGTAGGTCCTGAGGAAGGCTCATTGGGTCCAATGTTGCTTGGAAATGCAGGAGGCTTGTTAACAGAGGTTCGTAAGCAATGCACTGATGTATGTCTTTGGGACTCGTAAGCTCAAAATTTCTCTATCTTTTGGCGGACGAGACTGCTGCCGGGATGCTGTGACTTTATCCGCGAAAGGTGCTCCAACTCGAGCACCTCTTGATTGTGCCTCGAGCTGCTGATGTAGGTTTTTAGCGCTATACCGGTGGTGTTTACCTAAGAAGTTAGCTACACATACGAGGTTCGAGAAGAGTAGACTGTTACTCACTGCAAGTCACGACAGAACCACACCGTTGAGTTTGCCCCAAAGCCCAGTTTGCTGATAACTTGGTACCTAGACTGAAATACATCACCAAGTTCCACTGGATAGTAAAGACCACGTTCATACGCAGGCATTCGTTCTTCCTCTGTTTTCTTTGTTGAGTCCAGAATGGGACAGCTAGAGGACATGGCCCTTCTTGGGAGAACTGGCAGTCGAGAGAATCGACTGAACTGAAGAAGGATCATCGCAGAAAGGTAAAGTTGTATAATATAAGTTATTGATCACGAAGATGCCATAAGATCACAATAGCCCTACAACCTAACCTGTTGTCCTTATTGTCAGGACTTTCCTTGAAAGGGGGCCGCCGAGGTTCTGTTGCTTGCATTATATTAATGCTACTGTCTTAAGTGGGTTCGAGGTTACTACCTTGGAAGCCGGTGCAGAGATATTGTCGGGTAGGTGATATCAACAGAGGACAAATGTGAGCTCTCAAACTCCTGGGTTCATGCAAGCTGGAAATAGGAATACTAGGATGGTAACTACTATTATAGTTGAAATGCTGGAAACTTGTGCAAATGTGCTGGAGGGGGGAAAGGGAAAATGTCGCTCTACGTCGATTCGTCCCAGATATATATACCATGGTATGCCATTCGGGAGGGGGTTGCTAGTAACTTCAGCAATCTTTGATTGGCGACCGGCATATTCCCGAAGCTCCGTAGGTCTATTAAGCAAACTGAGATACCAGCGAGGTACTTATTTACTACCCATGTGCTGCGCCCAATATCCGTGGACCAACAGGAATGGGCGCCGGGTTAGCGCAGCGATGCTTGACATGAGACCTAAATGGCGATCAAATAGGCCCTAGCAGAGAGTATCGAAGTACTACTAGTAGTAGACAAGCTCTGTCAAAACAGCCTATGTGCATACATTAATCTCCTGGTGCTACTGGATATGACCGAAATATATGGTTGAGTCGAAAGTTGGCATGCTTATTGAACAATTGCGGGATCTACTAGTATATATACTCTAGTAGACGGGGAATTTCCCCGCATCGCCAAAATTTTCTTTTCTTTCGCCGCCACGGAACCAACTCAGGAACGGATCCCCTTGTCTTGTCTCCGGTCCTTCCAACCGACTTTCGCTTTCATTTTTGCCATTTTTCTTGTTTTCGCTATCCCTCCTGGCTCCCTCTCCTCGCATTACCGCGTACCTATTGCGACGCGGCCGGATTCCTCCGCCCATCATGTCTCTCGTGCCCGTCGACACCACGCTGCAAGTCCCACCTCCTGACCCGGTTCAGGAGCCCCCTGAGGTGGCCATCACGCCCTGCGATCCATGGCCTGCACCATACTATCTTGAAGGCGGCCTGCGCCGGGTGAAGCCATACCACTACACCTACAACACTTTCTGCAAGGAGCGCTGGCGGGGTCGTGAATTGGTGGACATTTTCCTGTCGGAGTTTCGCGATCGTCCCGCAGAGTACTACGTACGCTTCCATCTCCTGGCTATTCGTCAAATTGACGAATAATATACTGACCTGGTCTTCTGGACTGCAGAAGAAAGCCCTACAAGATGGCCTTGTCGCCGTCAACGGCACGCCTGCTGGTCCCAACACCGTCGTCAAGAACGGCCAGATCATCTCGCATACCCTGCACCGTCACGAACCCCCCGTCACCGGGAAAGAGATTGGTATCATCCACGAGGATGACGATCTGATTGTCATTGATAAGCCTGCCGGTGTGCCTGTCCACTCCGCCGGTCGCTACCACTACAACTCCGTGCTCGAGATCATGCGCTCTCAACGCCATCCGGAATGGGTCCCACGGCCCTGCAACCGTCTGGACCGACTCACCTCCGGAGTCATGTTCCTCGGAAAGACCCCGAAGGCTGCAGAAAACATGACCGGCAAGCTCAAGGCCCGCACCCTCCAGAAGGAGTATGTGGCGCGCGTCAAGGGAAAGTTCCCCGACGGTGTCATTGTCTGTGACCAGCCCATCATGTCCGTGAGCCCGAAGGTAGGCCTCAACCGCGTTCGCGCCACTGGCAAGGAGGCAAAGACCAAGTTCCGTCGTTTGGCGTATATCCCGCCTCAAGCGCCGGAGCCTCAGAGCGCCCCCGACGCAGAGGGACGGGTGGCGACTCCGCCTCCGGTCTACACCAACGAAGACGAAGGGTATAGTATTGTCCACTGCCTGCCCTTGACCGGCCGCACGCATCAGATCCGCGTGCACCTTCAGTTCCTCGGACACCCGATCTCGAACGATCCCATCTACTCCAACCGCAAAGTCTTTGGACCGGATCTCGGCAAGAACGAGACCAGCGACGAGCGCGACAACGAGCTTATCGATAAGCTATGTAACATTGGCAAGACCGAAGTCCCCGACACCGTAAGCTACCGGACGCACCTTACCACTGTGCCTATGGTACCGCCAGGCACGGACAACTCCGTCGTGGAGGAGATCATGTCACGGGAGCACGAAGCCGCCGTGGAGAGATACCACAAGCGCAAAGGCGAGATGTTGTCCGGTGAGAGGTGCAAGATCTGCGACACAGAGCTCTACTCGGACCCTAGACCCGAAGATCTAGGTATTTTCCTCCACGCCGCGGCATACTCTGACAAAGAGGAGGGCTGGAAATACACTAGCAAGATGCCTAGCTGGGCCCTGCCGCCGGACGGTGTGGAGGGACCGCGCGAGATGCCCGACTGGGTGTTTGGTCCTGAGGAGGAGGAGATCATTATCGGACATGCTGTTTTGCCTGGCGCGGAGGACGGCTCGGAGACGAATATCCCTGCTCTTGTGCAGGGTGTTGGCCTCGTTGATATTTCGTCCGGTAGGAAAGCAGATGCTGCTGCGCAGGCGGCTGCATGATAAACACGTTGGTTACATGGTGCATGATTTGGCGTTACTTGCAATTGCAATTAGAGAAATTAGACATGTTGAGATGCTGAACGACGGATTACATTTTGTCACATAGCTGGATTCGTTTACTTGATACCACCATAGACAAAGTTTCATCTGCCATTTCAAATTGGATATATCATAGAACAAGCGTCATAGACAAACATAGTTCCATCTGCGGGGTAATACTACACATATATGAATTACAGTCTGCTAGGCTTGTCAAGAACAAACAATTGAAAAGTAAGGCCATCCCTATGTAGTTGATATAAATTGTACGGTAGGTAGGATACAACACCAAATGGGACCAACTACGACGCTACAAAATACAACCCTCGGTCATCAAAAAAAGTCTTCATAAGATTTAGATTTTTATTCCCAGACTGGCAGCACCAGCCACGACCACAAGCGCCCCATGACAAATGGAAACGCTTGCAATCCAGCACATACGTCGTCAACGTCAGACACACACAAAGCCAAAGCCCACATTAGAGAAGATGCGATGATTCAAGGCTCCGCAAGTCCCCAAGATCACAAATTAACAAACAACCACGTAGTAGTAGTTGTCTGTTATTTGCTTTTTTAGTTGTCCCCCGAGAGTGGTTGGTTTTCCCATTTGGTTGGTATAAAGTGGAAAAAAAGAGTTTTAATGAAAAATGAAAATGAAAATGATGAAATTTCTTGGGCTTTCTTTACATTCATTCCATATCCATTTAAGCCTCGGTGGTGACGCGGCCCTTGGGGTTGGTGACCTTGACGCCGAGAGCCTTGGCCTTGGCGATGATGTCGACGCGCTTGCGGGAGGAGACGGCGCTGGCGATCCTGTTCAAGTAATTAGCATTTGATTTTCTTGTAGATGCAGTCTGCCAAAGGCAGAGGCGTGAACGTACTCAGCGGCGTAGGTGCGGTTGTGCATCAACAGAAGCTCAACGTCCTTGGGGTTGTGGACGAGGAAAGCCTTGTGGCCGGAGGGCATCATGTGCTTGGTCTTCTTGTTGGATCCGTAGCCGATGGAGGGCATGGGGATGTTGCCACGGAAGCGTCTACGGACGCGGTTGTCGATACCCTTGGGCTTGCGCCATGACTCCGGCACGCACTTGAAGCGGTCGGACTGGTGGCGCCAGAAACGCTTGGTGCCTGGAAGGAATTTGATGTTAGTCGGGTCGTTCGTCCTGACGACGTGTGTATGTGTGATTTAGTTCAATCCGGCTGTATGTCCGTGGTCCAGCAAGCACTTGTCAATTCATGTTGTTGGTGTGTGTAAATATCTTCGTCCAGATCGATTCGAAATTTCGGTCGCTTGTGATAATTTCTTCGCCGATCAAGTTCGTCGTTCGCCATCGTTATTTCGCAATAAGAATATAGAAAAATTGATTCGTTCGCTTCGATCGTCTGATTTCTCATTCCATCGCACCGTATATATTCCTCATGCTTGCTGGACGACTGACAACCGACGGATCGTACTCTGGCTGGGAACTGGACTGGGCTGGGACTAGCAGGGAGAAAAGGAAGGACATACGCTTCTTGACGATGGGGACGTGCTTCTTTGCGAGGACCATCTGTTCTCAATTAGCATGCAACAGGCAAGCAGCTGGCAACAATATCACATACCTTGTCGTCGTCTCGCGGGCTGGCGCTGGGAGTTGTCGTACGGGTCGAAATCGATCTCGAAAATTCGCGCTCAGGTTTGGCCGCCCGAGAGAGTCGAGCTAGTGGCTCGCTTAGCGAGTCTAACTGCTCTCGGTGCGTTAGGGCTCTTTACGCTTGCCCTGCATTTTGTCGGTACTGCTTACTCAGCTGGGTTAGTGCGGTGGATAAGCTTGCCTTGTGCCATTCCACATCAGGAATAGCGTATATATGCTGTGATCTACTATGGACTTCCGCCTTCGCAGCACAGCAGCAGCACCGCCCCGTCGTATTCGCGATGCTTGTGTTCCATCTGTGTAATTGAGCAAGTTAATTACAAGTTCAATGCCTACAGTCATACATGGAACAGGCCTCTGACACTTATATCTTTGTCTTGTTCAACCATGATGGTTTTCGGGGGACTGTCCCCCTCTTTCCGCGAGGCTGCAATCCGTAGTACACAATGCCGGCGCTTGCCATCGGGCAGCGTTATCCATATAAGGGATGACTCCTCTTCCATGATTTTGGTGAGCAACGCAAGGCATTTAACAACTAATTAACTGCATTAAAATTCTGTTATTCCTTCTTCTGTCAAATCAGCGGTTGCTCCCTTCAAACTGCACCATGAGCCTCGGATATGGTGTCGGGGACTTCATCGCTGTAGTGAATCTCGCCAAGGCCATCAGGGTGCGCTTTGTTAGTGCACCAGACCAATTCAGACATATATCAGAAGCGTATGTTTCAATACCATGCGCGTCTATTACGATACTAACATGTCTCCAGTTCAAAGACCTTGTGCAATGTCCTCCGCGATATCAAAGACATGTACGAGCAAGCGGAGCTTGATACCCAGCAGGAGAAACGCCTAGACGAAATCTCTCGCTCTTGCAGTAGTGGACTGAATGAATTACTCAGCAAATTAGACAAATTCCAGGAGTTGGACCCTCGCACTAACAGCCTAGGGGGCACCTGTCGTCGCGTCTGGAAAAGACTCATATGGGACCAAGCTGAGATGGCTGAGATTTGTCAGAGGATACAGTCCAATGAACAAATCTTTAGTCTCTTCAGTACTAGTCTGACTAGGTATGGGTTCATAATAGCCCAGGAAGGCGAGTGCTCACAAATGCCGAAAATGGTCAAGTAGCCTTTACTACAAAAGAGCTCGTTCACCGAGTTAACAACACCATGGAAGACAAAGCTCAGCATGAAATCCTTGAATGGCTTACGACCGTCAACTATGCAACTCAGCAAGAGGAATATCTCGAACGTCGGCAAGAGGGTACCGGTAAGTGGCTACTAGGCACAGACAAGTTTCAGCAGTGGATTAACAACGAGAATAAAAATATCCTTTGCACGGGCATCCCTGGAGCTGGAAAGACAATACTCACTGCTATTGTCATCAAATATTTTGAAGAGAAGTGTGAACACGACCGAAGTGTTCGTCTCGCCTACATATACTGCAATTTCGGCGCCATCATGAGCAGAGTGTGGACGATATACTTGCGAGTCTGATAAAGCAATTGTGTCAAAGAATGTCATCCCTTCCCGAGGATAAAGACGCTATATGCGCAACACAAGAAACGTCAGACATGGCCAAAACTCGACGAACTTTTCGAGATCCTATTCGTTCTGCTTGGTCACTTCTCGAGGATCCTCATAGTGGTGGACGCCCATGATGAATATTCATCAAGAGATGAAGCGCTACGCAGGCTGTTATCGGAGTTATTTCGTCTGCAGAGCAACAGCACAGTTAGCATATTCGCTACGTCACGGTATAGCCCGTTCATCCGATCGGCATTCGAGGGTTGTTTACAGCAAGAAGTCTCTGCTACCGCTGAAGATGTAGAGGCGTATCTGCGAGGTCACATGTCCGATCTGTCAAAGGTCGTGCTACGCAACAATAAGCTACAGAAGGAAATAGTCAAAGCAATTACGAAAACAGGAATGTATATTCCATCATGTGTCTCGTTAAGAAAATCCGCTCCTGCTCTGACATTCATAGGTTTCTTCTTGCTCAACTCCACCTTGACTCGTTGAGAGGAAAATTCTCGGTAACGGCGGTTAGGAAAACACTAGAGAAACTTCCAACTGGAGCTGACGCGTACGATGTTGCATATGAAGAAGCCATGGAGCGGATAAATGCGAAGGCGGCGGGAGAAAGGGAGTTGGCATTTCAGATTCTTGCATGGATCACCTGCGCTCAGGTGCCGCTGCTGATAGAACAGCTCCAATTTGGCCTTGCAGTCGAGCCTGACGAGGCAGAATTTGATCCAGATTTTTGATCGAACAAGGACTCGTTCCAGATAAACAAGACCAGTGGGGACTTACTCCCCTTGCGCTAGCAGCAAAAAAAGGCCATTTCGAGGTTGTGAAGTTACTCTTGGACAATGGAGCTAGTCCAGAGTTAAAGAGCAACGATGGCCGAACCCCTTTGATGCTAGGTTGTGAAAAAGGCCATAACCTTGGCAGCGCTTGCGATAAAATACGAATTGGCCAACTTGATTGTCAAGATAGGGTAGTCGCACTTTTGCTCGAGGCAAATTGTGACCCTAATATAAAAGATGAACATGGCTTGTCCGCGCTCCACTACGCCTTTGCTAGAGGACGCATGCGAGTTGTTAAACTGATAAACTATTACTCGCAAAGAAAGCTGATTTTTAAAGGAAAAGGATAATGCAGGTAAGATACCGCTCTTCAACGCAGGCAGATACGGGGATTCGCTTGCTGTCTCATCATTGCTCAAGCAACCGTTTGATGCCAACCACATGGATGTATCAGTCTGGAGGATGATTCTCTTATCAAGGATAATGCAGGTCATACACCGCTATTCAACGCAGCCAAATATGGTGGTGCGGTGGTTGTTCTAACGTTGCTCACCCATGGGTTCGATCCAAACCACATGAATGATTCCGGCGTGACTCCGTTGTTGTTCGCTTCCTACCACAAGCTTCATAATGTTGTTCTGGTACTATTAGACAATGGGGCTTGTCCAAATGTGATGACTGAACATCAGGGGCATGACACCATTGCTTTATGAATTCAGGGAGACCATCACTCTATGTTCATGTCGCTATAAGACCATGGCGCTGATCCTAACCTCACTGATCAAAAGCTCGGTCGACCTCCTTTGGTATAGGCAGCGCAGAGAGGTCTTGCTTCGATGGTGGAAGCATTGTTGAGCAGAGGAATTGACGCAGACAGCCAGGACTGTGACGGTTGGACAGCTCTGTCGTATGCGACTTCTACACCGTCGGATCACAAAAAGTTAGGAGACAAAGCCCTAGTTAAGCAAATTCTTGAGTCTGGGAATAATCCAAAAGCTCACGATTCACACATCAAGAGCTCCTTGGCGGCGACCACACGCCGTGATTACGAGGGCATTGTGAAACTACTTTTGCAGTATATGGCGAACCCAGACACGGTTAACGTTAATTGGGGAGGATGGAAACCATTGATGGTCGCAGCAGCAACAGGATGCGGGAATACAGTTCGATTACTGCTCGATACGGGAAATGTAAACCCCAAGCGCCGGGATGAGACTGGCCACGACCAAATCGCGGTACTTCTCTCGAGTCCTATAATGGAGACCAACGTGACCATCAATGAAGCTGTCTGCACCACAGACCAGCTGGAGAACGCTCCTCTCATTGCTTCTCGTGCAACAGGACCACAAGAAAGGTGAGAGTCACCTGTCAATCTGTAGAAATTACCTCACATATCTGTGAGGATGCCCTATATCATTGGTGCCATTATTTGGATAGGCCAATCGGTCAGGACATCAAATTGTAGATTTTCGAGTTTATGTTTATTAGGCAGTTAAATTGAAGGTTTGAGTATACTATTTGAAGAATCTATTGCCCTCCTAGGCCAATCCATCACTGCAAATCCAACAGCACCTTCCCACCCTCACTCACAAACATCCCCTCCATAACCTCCAAATCAGCCAAAGCCTCCTCCGGCCGCAGCCTCTCCTCCAACTGTCCCTTCAATATCGACTCCCCAAACGCAGCCACCTCATAGTTCACTCCCCGTCCCTCATACGGCACCTCAAACGACTCCCCACCACTAACCGTCACCGTATCCCGATCCAACTTAACCACACCGCGCTCACAACTAAACTCAAAGACCGTCTCATTGACAGCAGCCCCATACGACAAGGACACCACCCCATTCGCCCCAGACTTAGTCTTGACCACCGCATCGAGCGTATCCACCGGCGCCAGATGCTCCCGCTGCAATCCCATCATAGCCGACACAGCCGCCATAGCGTCCTCTTTACCAAGAATAAGTCTCAATCCAGCAATGGCGTGGACCCCTCCATCGAGGACAAACCCGCCCTTGTATGTGGGTTTGCGACGCCATTCGGTTTCTGTAACATTGTTAGCTTACCCACTCCTTTTCCCACAACCAAGCCCAAACAAAACAGAGCAAGTAGAACAAGAAGAAAAGAAGAAGGAAAGAATAGATAAACGTACGATGATACTTCGACCCCTCCCCAATCAACGTCCTCACACTAACCCTAAAAGCCTTCACAGTCCCCAACTTCCGAACCTCCTCAGCTACCCGCGTGAACTTCGCCAGGAAGCGCCAGTTCTCCGCTACGCCCCAGAGCGGCTTCGTCGCGAGAGCCTGGTACTCTGAGAGGAGAGCCCTAGCGGTGTTGAGATCACCTGCGATGGGCTTCTCGCTTAGGACGTGTTTGCCCGCTTGTAGAGCTGCGCGGATGTAGCTTGGTTGGGCGGGGATGGGGAGACTGTTTTCCATTTAGTATACGTTTATCATCATGTTAAATACAATTTTATACATCTCCAATGATGACATTTGTAATATCAGGATTGGGGGAGGGGACATCTCACGCAATAACAACAGCCCGCACATCCTCCCTGTCGAGGAGATCCTGAAGCCGTCTACCAGCTTCGGAATCCTCGGAATATAATTCCACGTTCTTCATCATGGCGTCATCTCCCTTGCTTCCCGAGATGAGGGACTCTGCGGATTTGAGGCTCCGGGAGTAGATGGCTTTGAGGGTGAAGAGGGGGGAGGTGGTTAGGATGGGCTGATTGTTCCCTATTAGTACTGGTTATATGGGGGATGAAAGGCGAAGGGGGGGTATGTTGGTACCAGGTGTTCTTCTTTGGCGAAGATGCCTATATTACTGGTTAGTTCATTAGAGTCATGTGAAATGGGGATTGATACTGGGGATAGGATAAGGGAGGGGTGGATACCGCTGCCGACGATGGCTACGCCGATGGGGGAGGACATTTTGATAATGTGTGTGATAATATCAATGATAATAGTAGTAATAACGACAGGAAAGAAAAAATTATTTATATGGGAGTAGATAGTTGGGGATTGGGATGTGAAAGAGTCTATCGATGCTATTAATATAATTTGCTATAGGAAATAATATGTGGGGACGTGCGAGGCACTCAGACTAAATGGCGTTTAGACCCGGAGTGTGGATGGCGGGGTTCGGTGGATATTCATTTTATTTCCTTCATCACTGTGTACTGTGTAGATGAACATTTTCACAAATATTATGGTAGAAAAGTAAAATGTAATACCATGCTATATTAATATCCTCAATCAATGCAATAATTCAAACGCTGCGCCGTAAATGCTATCGTCACTCTCATAAGTACGCCTTATCCCGTCAGGTCATGCATCTCATGCCAACCATAACATGGCTTTCGCCAAACCAAAACACCGGGGTATATGATAAAAAGCAAGCGATAATGAAGAGCGAGGAAAAGCAACCGAAACTGATAACCCCCCTATCTATCCGACCATCGCTCGAATCCGCTCCACACGTGCCATCGCCTTCTCTAAGCGCTCCAGTCGAGCGCGCTTCTCGACATCTCGACGTTCCAGTACCGCGACACGCTCTTCGAGCCGAGCTCGTGCCTTGCGTTCCTGCGCGACCATCTCGTTTGCCTGGCTGAACAGCTGCGCTGTCAACTCCTCCAGCTCCGTGCTCGCCTGCGATAGCTGGCTTTCTGCGGCTTTACGTAGACTCTGCTCCCGGGTCAACGCATTCTGTAACTCCACTGTCTCCTCCTGGGTGGTTGTCGGCTGTACAGGCTCTGGTGGTGGTGGAGGCGAAGCAACAGGCTGAGCCTGGGTGGTACTGGTAGCGCTCGGTCGACGGGAGGGGAGGAAAGAGGCAAGAGTAGAGAGTCGGCCCGGTTGCGATTTCGGAGATGTTTGTAGGTGAGTAGGTGATTGGGACCGGTCGATTTGCGTTGATGCGGTGGATGACACGGATGTGTTGTTTCGGGAGGACGGTTGCGCACGCAGTCGTCGGATCTCTTCTTCGTATGCGGCCAGTTTCTCGGCTGTTGGAGAATGGCTTCCATTAGTACACTAATCAATGTATAGCTTTGGAGTTTGTTTAACTCACCCATTTGCATTGCTTGGAGGTTCAGAGCGTTGACTTGGCCTTCCAGGTCCTTCGCTCGACGTCGGGTATCATTTGTGGACTGTCCAGCCGCGAGGAATCCGTCCTGGCCGCAAGTTGGACAGGCCTTTCCGGAGACGAGAGCGGCAGCGCCCGCCATAGAGGGCAGCGTGCCGATGAGAGTGGTGGACGTTAGAGCGGTGGTAGTGGTGGTGGTCGACATTGTTTGTGCCACATGAGGTGAAAGTGAGGAGATCAAGTTCGATCGTGTACAATGGCACAATCAATTGTAGGGAAGGCAACGTCAGCGGATCGGAGGTGAAACTGAGCGGCGGGAGGCTGAAATGAAAGGATGCCGGACCAGTGTCGCAGAAAGCGGCAGAGAGACAATAAATAGGAGGCCAAGCTGCTTAAGGGACGCTCATGCAGTGGTGCAGTGAGGCAAGGGAAGGTGGTTGGAAGAGAAGATGTCGGTAGCCAACCTGCTCAAACAAAGAAAGCGAGAGAGCGTGCAGAGACAGATGGGGATGAGGCCGGTGAGAGGAGAGAAGTCAGCACAGGCAGTAAAGTAGTACGACGGGGAAGATTAATTGATTAAACTGGAAATTGAATGCATTAATTGTCCCTGCGGCGGGAAGCGGTGGGGAGCCGCCGGTCTTTCCCTCTCCAGAACAGCAGAAGGAATGCATCTTCTCCTTCCTCTGCTGCGCTGGCAGTCACCCAAGTACAACTACTATTGTTGGGGAGACCGTGTAACTGCCAATGGATGTGATCATCATATCTCCGGCATTGGACTGCCTATCACCAACAATGTTGCTCCTTCTGCGAACCCTTGAAGACGCCATGGAATCTTGTTGGATCCGCGCGCGAGGCAACACGTGTGGACCGCGCCGTTGAGACCCGCTGGCTAGTGAGTTGCTGTTGGTGACTCGTCATTTGCCTGTCTGGTTGATCTGCCAGTTGCATCTCATAAAGCTGACTTGCTTGGTCTGTCTCGTACAAAGGTCCGACAGACAGGCGGCTTGATACACCGACTGGAAGGTGTGCTGTGAAAGGCCTCGACTCCATTCCAGCCTCCTGGCCAACCGCCCTGGATGCCGTCGCGTTCCTTATCGCCAGGGTAACACCAGCCATGAGATAATGGATAAACCCTGCAGCCTTGATAAAGATCGGGCTCCCTTGCTGGCCCCGGGAGATCTTCAACTTTAACCTATCTAGAAAGGAGATGTGCGCTGAGGAATCACCGATCTTGTCTCCCTTGCAGACCTCCCGGCTTCATTATACCCTCCCGACCGGAAGGTCTTATACCAACATTTTGATTTCGAATCATCATCTCATTTCCACCCCTTTTGATCCATCAATCATTACTTATCATTTATACTCACCATCACAGCCTTAGCATCGTATCTCATCAATCTACGTCCAACGTTACTTCTTCTCCCTCCCCGGCAGTACCCTTCGATCCGAGAGCGCGATAACCACGGAAATGCCTCCGCTAACTGCCCCCAGCACCGTCACCATTGTCGCCCAGCCGGCTCGTTCGACTAGCAGACCCGCAACCAAGGGCCCCAGTACCTGCCCGCCTGACCAAGCTACATTGAAAAGCCCGTACGCCTGCGCAGTTCCTCCTTGAGGTCCGAAGATACCGGGGAACTCCCGCTCGTACCGCTCCGTCACGTTGTTGACCTCCGTCATCAGCGAGACCATTTGCAGGGTCGAAGCGACACCTGCGAGGAAGAGGAATACATAGAGAAGCACTTGGTCCTGGGTCGTGTTGCGTGCGACAAGCTGGAAGAGCAACAATGCTGGAAAATCGAGCAGGAAGCCGACAAAGGCTACTCGAGGTGCTCCCCAACGGTCCACTGCATCGCCTGCAATCATTGGTTAGCAGAGCTAGAGGGCATAGAGGTCGTCTGATACATACCAATCCATGGGGAGAGGAAAGAAGGTGCAAAGAGCGGTAGGAAACACAGCCCGATTTCGAATGATCCCCAGCCGAACGTTTTCATGACATACAGTGGGAGCACCTGACCTCGTTAACTTCATCTTTGAAGATATGGGATGGGTACATACCGTATCAAAAGCGGACCAGATGATGGCATCTACTACCGTCGCTAAAAGAACGACGAGCAACTTGCCTGAGAAAATCAGGCGGACAATCCCAGGTACAGAGGTTGACCTCCCGCTGGTCAGTGGCTCGCCGCTGTCCTCGGTTGGACACTCAACAGCAATGCTAGATGTCTGACCTGCGCCAGCATTTGCCGTAATTGCATTGTACCCAGCACTGTGCGCACCAGCTTCGTTTAGCAGACCTTGTGTCTCTCCGCCACTGCTCGACTGAATCCATTGCGCAGCATTCTTGGGTTCGACCATCACGAGCCGAAGACAGATATCCAGCACTATCAACCCAATCGCCAACACGAAAACTGCATGATAGCCCACTCTCGACAGCCTGAATCATTAGTAAATCGCCTTTCAAGCTTCCAATGCGACAGAAACTGAACTCACATGATCCCTCCAATAAATGGGCCAAACACCGTCCCCACGGTCGGTGCCATCGAGACATATCCCATTGCAGCTCCCACCTGATCCTTGCCCACTGTATCGACGACCAGAGCCAAACCAACAGTCCAGACTACAGCGGCTGACAACCCTTGGAGACTGCGCGCAATGACCAGGGACGACACTGTTTCTGCGAACCAGAACACGATAGTCGTACCGGCGAGCGCGAGTAATCCAATGAGGAAAGGTAGCTGGCGCGATGAGCTTCTGTCCGCGAAGTAACCGAATATTGCTAGCAACTTCGTGTTAATTGCGCTCATTTCGTTAAGTAAAGCAATGACACCTACGGGATCCGAAGAATATACCACCGCCAAACGCAGCCAGCATGATCGACATCCATTTTTGCACTGTGGATGATTAGCCTGTTGTCTCACCATTCTCAAAACAGGACACCCTACACTCATCTTCCGGTACGATCACGCGTGTTTTGAGCACAATCGGCAAGATGGGCACAATCTATACTGGTCAGATGAAGCTCCGAGCCGATCCGAAGGTGGTGCAGTTACCATTCCATATATGAAGACGTCCTATTCTCGGTCACAACATCAGCACGAATATCAGTTGTATTATCACAAGGATCAAGTACCGTGAAGACCGCAATAGCCACAACAGAAATCACAAATGCCCTGGAGGAGCGAAAAGCAAGCTTCCAGGGCGCAGAGCCCGTAGAAGGCGGATCGGAAAGGAATTCAGCTGGATACATCCTGACACCGACACAGAGAGGAGTGTTACTGAGAGAAGGATCGTGAAGGGGGGGGACGAGGGATATATGCGCAAGAAAAAAGAAAAACCAGAGCCCGTCAGCCGGTCGGTCAAGAGCTCTAGTTCAGATACAGACAGTAGGATGACATGTGGGGTAGGGTAGCGGGATAGTAATCAGATGGTAGCAATCGTAGTCTAGTTAGTCGCAGTCTCGTCGCGTCCAGATGCGATAGATAAAAATAAAACCAGATAGACAGACAGATTAGCAGATAGATAAAGACCAATTTACGTAGTAATCTAGCTCTAGCTCAACCGTCTACGGGAATACTTGCCTTTATTTCATCCCCTCACCCCCATCATAATCTCTCTCTCTCCCTCTCTGACAGACAAACCAGACAGACAAACCAGACAGACAAACCAGACAGACAAACCAGCGGATCGTAATCCGCAGGGACCCGACTTCCTATTCGGGATGGGGGCTGGGAGTGTAGAACTCACCAACGAATTTGATTGATGGTCTGACTGAACTAGGTTTCTTACTCACTCACGTTCTTCAGCTGCTGCTACTACTACTTACTAGGTACTGCTACTAGTTGGGTCGCCATGCATCCCGTCGATCATCTCGATCAAATTAGGTTTGGTTTTCCCTTCCCTCTCTCTCTGTTCCCTTCAGCTTCTCCGTCGCGTGCTTACTGTCTCGTTGATGGAGGGAGGGAGGGAGGGAGAAAGCGATTGGTTGTGGATTTTCTTTGCTTTTGATGGTTTCTTTTCTTTTTGATGTATGAGGGTGGGGTTTAAATAGGTTTTTCATGTTTATGTGTTTCATTGTTATTGGGTTCAGTTTGGTATCATATAGTATATATACTTAGCCGCATAGCTTGGTCTCGAGGAACTCACGCACTCTTAGTACTATTCATGGTACTAGTGATGATTGTCATTCATTTACCGATGATAATGATTTACGAGGTAGAGGTACTAAGCTACTAGGCCTTATAAACTGCTAATCGTTATCTTATTCGTATGGGGGAACTGCCTCGTGTCAACTAGTAGTAGTAGGGACATGCATGGGGGGCTCTCCGGTTAGGTTGAACAAGAAGGGAACAAGACTCCACACGCCATCCCCGGATCCAGAAGCAAGACAGAGTTTAAAAAGGAAAGAGAGTTTGGAGAGTGGAGTAAGAATAGCAACTGTCTGGCAGCAAAAAAAGGGGTTGGGCAAATTAATTTCGGAGGCGAATGGAGGGTTTGGGGTTTTGATCAGCAAGTTCAGAAAGCATAAGATAACAAGTGAAAAGAAACGTATACTCTTCTTCCTTCGCATCAGCCATAAGGGTCATTGCTGTGTAACACTTCATCCACGTACATGGGAATAACTAGCTCAGAGAAACGTGAAGAACACACACTAGGAAATTTGGAGAAAAGAACAAACTTTTCGACATGCTTGACGGAAGAAACAAGGGGACTAGACCTGAATCCTAGATCTAGACGAAGGCGGCAACCCGTAGGAAGAGAGAAAGGAGAAAGCGAAAGAAGTTGAGGACGACTCTGAACAACATCAAAACAAACGGACATCGACGTTAACCAAAATCCACCTGGCCATTTCCACGAGTGCTGCGCAGCGATTCGGCGACCCAACATGGGCTAGAAGCAAAGTCTGGTCGCTTTATGACACGCACTTCGGAAACCATGGCGCACGGTTTTCGGTCAAGCGATGACGAGCTTGGGGGGGTATCCATTGATCTATGCAAACGTGCGGCCGCCACGGCGGTTGTTGCGCTGCTTCGAGCTCACGGTGCTCCAGCCCTCGTCGTCGGCTCCAGCCTCGGCAGGCCCAGCCCTCCAGTTGCCGTTCGCCTTGCTGGCGGGAGCGTCGGTCGAGGCTTCAACCTTCTTGGCAGCAGCCTCCTCGCTCTGATCCTGATCGGCAGTCATGCCACTCTCGTCCTCACCGGCCCGCCGGAGGATCTCGAAGTTCGTGCCACCCTGGGCGTGCTCGGCGACATCGCGGCCGTTGGGATCAGCCGGCGCACCGGTCTTCTCAGCCTTGGGCTGCTCCTTGGCAGGACGCTGCTTTTCGGTCTTCTCAGACTTCTCAGTCTTCTCGGCCTTGGCCTTCTCGTCCGCTTCCTTCTTTTGGCGGATGGCAATCTGGCGACGTTCCTCAACCTCCTTCTCGCGAGCGGCAGTGTCGATGGGCCGAGCACCACCGAACGGGCTAGCCTTGGACTCGGTGTTGGCGGTGGGGCTGGAGACGGCCTCAGTCACAGTCCGTTTTTGGAGGTTCAAGCGAGGGCGAGTAGCGGGGGCAGCGGGAGCGGCAGCAGGAGAGGGAGGGTTGCTGGCCTCCTTGGCGGGCTGGTCGGGGCGCATCTTGGATCTCCATGCGTTATCGAGTTCAGCAGCGGTGGGGGTGCGTTCTTGGAATTCGCGTCTCGGGGGGCGGGAGCCATCCTGGGAGCGTCCCTCACCCCAGGCGGGGGAGCTTCTTCTGAAACCAGGTGCTTCATTGCTGCGGGGACGGCCACCTTCCCGGACAGGTGCAGGCGGGGGAGAGAGAGGGCCCTTGCGTTCCCAGTTGCTGAAATCACGGAACTTTCCATCACTCTCAAAGTTGCTGCGGCGGCCACTACCGCGGTCGCTGCCGGCATCAGACATGTTGTCGAGGTTGCGTCCGAAAGAGGAGCGGTCGGGCACACGGCGCTGAGGAATATCGGGCAGAGGGCCTCTGCGGGTCCAGTCAAACTCCTTGACATCACGTTCCTTGGCTATAGGGACCGTCAGCTGGCGCAAATAATCATACCTGAGAAAGGACACCTACGAGGTTCGGCAATGCTGGTGCGGATGGAACGTCCCTGGAGGGTAGCGCCGGAAAGATCAAGAGCCTTCTTCAGACCATCAACAGTCTCAAATTCGACATATCCGAAGCCCTTGGGGGCCTTGGTCAACTTGTCCTCCACGATACGGACGTTGGTAACACCACAGTCGGCAAAGAGGTCGGAGATATCGGCGGCAGTCGCATCAAAGGACAGGTTTCCAACATGGGCAGTGTAGGGGGGCTGGGTCGGAAGAGGAAGGGGCTCTCTCACGGCGTAGCCACCACGCTCACGCTCTGGTACTTTCCATCAGCATCAAACACATATATCGGAGCAAAATGCAGCAATAACACAGGGGCGAGTTCCGTACCACCACCAAAGCTGCTTCCGAAGCCAGAAGAAGGCGCAGCAGAGCGACCGAAGCTGGACGGAGCGGGAGCTGATATCAGTTTAGCATCAGTCGGATCGAAGGAAGAAATATCATGTACAACGTACCGGCTAGAAGGGCATCAATATTAGCAGGGAGCGACAAACCAAAGGCAAGGAATCCGTCACTTACAAGGCAAAGGCATGTCTTCCATCTCGTCGGCCCAAGAACCGAAATCTGTGCCTGTTAGCCACCGTTCGTCCCCGCGACGATATGAATGCACAGGGACATACTCTCATCGGCCAAGAAGTTGCCCAGAGACATCTTCTGGGCTTTCTGCTTAGAGGGCGCTGTACGTAGAATAAAGCCATTAGTATCCAGGAGAATTCAGAGGATGCGAAATTGACGTAAATTGGGACAGTGCGCCGGACGAGGAGGGGTTGAACGTACCCATGATTGCGGTTGTTCAGAAGTGGGAAACGCGCCAAGGGGATTCCTGTGCGCGTCTCAGAATAAAGGTTCTTCTAAAGGATTTAAAGGGGGGGGCTTCCGACGGGGAAGAAATCACGAGAGTGATAGTGGACGTCCAAAGGGGCGTTGAGTGATGGGGGGAATGCAGGACAGCTCCGCAGTGAAGGACAGAGGGGGAAAGTAGGTTAATCCGTGAGGATAAATTTTAGTGATGACGCTAGAAAAGTCAGCCTCAAAAAAGTGTTGGTGCGGCTTTGGGTCGGCCGCCTCGACCCAACCCGAGGGCTTTTTTCCACCTTTTTTCCCTCGCCTTTTTGCGGAGAAAGTGTGGTCTCTCTCCTTCCGCCCCTCTTTCTCCTCTCCACCCGGTGTCTTTTTTCGGTCGGATTCGATGAGATAATGAGTATGAGTGACTGTGGATTGTCAAAATTGTCTCCCTTTTCTGCTCCCTTGTCACTACTATTGTTATGGTGGTGAATATTGTTTGTTCATCAGTTCTCCGCTTGAATAGGCCCCATTCCGCATTGGGCCAGACATTCTTGTCTTCATTGTCTGCGCGGTTGGTTCCATACTAGGAACGGCACTTAACCGACACGCAGACAGCACTTGCAGTTTCACTTCCTTTCTCTCGCCTGCTTTTTCCAGGTTGCTAATTTATTATACTGACTCCATCGTGCACTGCTATGATACACAGTAGTTCTTTCATATTCTGTCTGCGAATGTCTACCTGGAGTTCCTCATCCAGACTCACAACCGTCCAGCAAAAAGGCATTGCTACTAATGGAACTAGTTACCTTTCACCTCCGAAGCCTGTGACCCCCACGCCATCCCAAAACACATCTCCATGTCAAAGTGGCGACTAGGAATACGGAAGACATAATGCACAGGCTGAAAGGACAGTACAGAATTTATTGCTCAGCGCTGTCCATATCCCGTACGTTCGGGTGTGTCGGTATTGTCGAATTTTCAACCGCCGTTCGTGTCCACAACGAAACAAAGTACGAGTGAAGAAAACTAGTTTTTGAGAACCACTGTCGGCTTCAAGTTGAACAATACCTATCAGTTCATCCGAAGGAAGCGTCTTTGGTGATGGTTCACACTTGTTGAAGACACCCCAATTCCCACTTCCACTCGAAGGACTGCCCACTTACAAGGTCCTTCAACCCTTGGAATTTCCTCGGCTGGAATGGTTCTATACGACGATACCGGCAGCGGCTAGGTATATGGACATAGAAATCTAGTCACATGGTTGGGATTTGTGCACCTAGTGTACAGCGAGGATAACATGGAGTTTGAGAACGTATACAGTTGGCAAGTGAAGGGTGATGAGCAACTGTTGATCTGAAATGGCTCGTACGCCATTCTCGGGGCTAAGGACATATCTTGCTCTTCGTCAGCCCGGTTGATGCACATCTTTGGCATCCTCACGCTGCACATGGACGCTAATGTAGGTTCCAAATGTAGACAAGCGTCCGAGAGAGAAGATGCAAACCAGGCTGCGCGCAGTGGATATAGTCTCAGAACTATCTAGGAAGGGAGCAATATTCCGTGGCTCTGCTCAAGACACTTCCCGTGTGGCTTGTTCATGAAGCCTCGCGAAGCCTGCATTAGTCCAACCAGCCAAATCTTCTATTTGTTGTGAACGCAAAGGTCAACGCACAGCCCCCGCTGCTCTTCAGAGGAACTGCAAGGGCCTCTTTACATCTTTGATCCAGTCAACACGCCAGCTACTTGTACAACCTGAGCGACCCGCACTCCACTCCCCATGCGTCCCGCAGCGGGGAGTCAGGATCTGCGGGCCGCCAAATACCCTGTCAGTCTATGCATACATGGCGGAAGTCGATCTCATGCTTAATCAGTTCAAGAAGAGTGAATATCATAGCATGAATAAGTATTGCTGTAGTACGAGTATAACGTGACAACGATAAGTATTATGATATATATCGTAGTTGTTGTCGAAGATTCAATCATGCGCACTATTTCGAAGACTGTAATACTGTATTGAATGGAGTAATCTACTCCGGGTGATCTTCAAACGACGTTGATATCATGTGAACTTCAGACCAGCCGAATCCTGATATATTGCTACAGATGGAATGAGAATACTGAAGCCATACTGATATAATTGGAGTGGTCACAAATTGTTGATTGCATTTACTCGGTGGACCCGCTTTGATGGCGGGAAGATCAAGGCACCGACCCGCTGCCGTCAGGCACACAAACACACCACCGTCTGTCGTTGACATCATCCAGGGTCTCGGATTTTGTCGGGGTTTGGAATCTGATGTTGCTCGGTCTTTGGGGCTGCACTCTGTATATCAATGCAGTCCTCCTTTCTATTGGTCCACAGTGATATTTCGCCTTATGCGAGATGGAGTACAGTACTGATTTCTCGGCCTATTTAGGCCGTGCAGCCCCAATGTACTTCCTGAGTGCTTTTCGTCCATCTTTGCTTCCTTCGTTTCGATCTTGATAAGAGAGTGGTTCTTTGTTAGAAGGATGACTATCATCCAGCGCACAATCCCCAAGGCGATCAAGGTTGCTGGAGTAGCTGGCTTTGCAGGCCTGGGCATATATTGCACGAAGCAATTCTCAACAGCGTTTGCGGAATCGAACGAGCCAAAATCAGTCTTCTCTGGGCTGGGTTTCACCACTTTGCGCTTGCAGAGCACCAAGAATGTCAATCACAACACGAAGCGACTAGTCTTCGAATACCCTAACGAATCCGCCCGCAGCGGCCTGACATTGACTTGTAACACTTGCATCTTGAAGGACGGTCTCTATCGTCAGGATAACCTGCTAACATTCAACAGCCGCGCTCCTAGCCATCACCCATCCTGGAGGAAGCTGGCTTCCTACGATACGACCATACACTCCTATAAGTGACCTGGGTGAGCTCATGCCATGTCCGACTCACCACATCCTGAACACACATAGACATGGTCCATCCATCATAGAAATGAGACATGCCTGTAGTCAGGGATTGGCCTAATTCGGACCATGTTTGCTAACTAACAATCAAATACACAGATGAACCAGGACATATTGAACTTATGGTCAAGAAATACCCGGATGGGAAGGCCAGTGGTTACTTGCACTCCCTGAGACCTGGAGACTCACTCACATTTGCGACTTCACTCAAAGGCTATCAATGGAAGCAGAATGAGTTATCACATGCCTACCTCTTGGCTGGCGGGGCGGGAATCACGCCTATCTATCAGCTTATCAAAGGCATACTGAAAGATCCGCAGGATAGAACGAAATTGACTCTAATCTTTGGAGTCAATTCCGAGGAAGATCTACTATTGAAAGAGGAATTTGATCGTTATGCCACAGAGTTTCCTGACCGCTTTAACTACATATACACTGTTAGCCGTCCAAAAGAGGAGAACTCCCCTTACAGAACAGGGTACATCGACGAGGAGCTTCTAGAGAGCACATTCAAGGAGTCGACGCAGAATACCAAGGTCTTCATTTGTGGTCCTCCGGCGATGGAAGATTCTCTGGTTGGAACAAGAAGATCGCCTGAAGGAATCTTGAGCCGATTGGGCTTCTCCAAGGATCAGGTTCATAAATTCTAGAGCTAACTTAGCTGCGAGAGCTTTGTATATAGTATATGTGTTTTTAAGGCATTAAGATGTCTCGCACGTGTCTTAACACAGGATATTGTCTGCATCAAATAGATAACAAGCAGGCCATTTGTATCAATTATACTCCTGCTTGGCACCAGCAGGATGGATTAGATAAGCATCCCGAGCCTGCGTGAATCACGTGCACGCTTGTGGATTTGCATGAGAGAAGATGCTGATTGAAACTGTTAACCAGGATATGCATCTGACCTGAAGTCGCAGACTACAGTGCCAGGAACCGCAAAGATGAGCGGACAGACCAAATCGTTATATCCGGAGCCTAATGTATTGAGCTCCTCTCTGAAGGTGGGAGCCGTGACTGGTTAGTTACCAATCCCATCTCGGTGACTGGTCGGCCGGCTTGTATTGCCTCAACTCAGGCAACATAAGCCGGAGACTCATTGCAGCAGTCCTACTTACTTACTCTCTTTCTCTAACAGGATCTGCTGGGCTCATATACGGGGGAATATCAGGAGTTATCCGGTCTCCCCACCCCGTCATTCATTCTATCTCTTGCGGAATCCACTGGTTTGCATGTGGAGCCTCCTTTTGGTGTGAGTCTTCCTCTCCTCTGTCCCTTATAGATCTGGAAATGATACCAAGCTTGCTACCACAGGGTTGAGAAGTAACATTCTGAAGCTTCACTATGAAGACAAGGCGACCCCTAAGCAACGGGCTTATGTCAGCGCCCTCTCTGGCGGAGTTGCCGGAGGGGCTGTTACGAGGCTAATGGGTGAGTTTGGTAGCATCCTTTCATTTTCCCGTTTGAGAGAGAAAAAGGTGGTGGTGGTGGTTGGTTTACTGATGGTCGGAGCTAGGCGGCCGACTTGTCCCTGGACTAGTTGTTTTCTCGCTACTAGGCTATGTCGGGCAAAGCTCTTATAATGCGATCGACACCTGGCAAATGGAGAACGCGAATACGACGTCTAAGCCGTTCCTGCAGCGGATGGCCGACTCCAAATGGATCCCGCTCAAGTCACTCTCAGATGACGATTACAGGGGTATCCTGAACGAGAAAGTGTTGAGTATCGAGGCTGAGATCGCACTCATTGACGACAAGATCGGGGAGCTTGAAAAGCTCAAGACTAGTGGTCTCGAATCGGGAAATTCGGATCCTGCAGCTAAGTAGTCGGTTTCTAGACGGCCACTAGCAACTTGGCTATGGGTGAGAAAGAGAAAAAGTTACGGCCAATCTCGAATGGTTGGGGGTCGATCTTACATGTCCGATCTAAGTATGTTAAGGAGAGGACTGTGTGATCGGGGGATGGACGTAGATCGTTCAATTCTCCTCTAGGATGGAAATCCCAGCAGCATTGTGTGTTGCACTTGCACTCAGTTTTGCAATGATTCTGTGCTGCTACTCAGGGGGTTATGAGGTTGCGACTTTAGCCTTCGACCAACAACATGCTGGTCGGATCTGCCGTACCTTTGAGTTGGCTACGGATGCCGGTGCCACCGCTTCCATGAAGCCTCCAGAAGGAGTTTTACCTTTTGTCATGTATCATATTGTTCCCAGACCCATGTATTTTAATTTGAAACAAAACCTTGTATGATCATGAAGCAGACCCTAATTACATGGAACACTACGGAGTATTCGCGATTGACAAGTGTTTCTTTCCGCTCCACACGCCAAGGAGCATTCTGGATATTGTTGGGAAAGTTTTGTGAGGAATCCCCAATCAAGCGATACTTGGTGAGAATGTTGCGCTAAATTCAAGGAGGGAAGATGCCAACTGCCGTGTTCGTAGGTAAATAGATACCTGAATAGATAACTGAATCCAACAGAGTCCAAACAAGAACGACCACGCCGCTAAGCTTTGTGTGAGACCGATTCCCATGGAGCCAGGGGAAAGGGAAAAATGCTTCCCGATCGACTGCAGCAGCCCTTTGAGGCTCGGAAGGTGCGTCGAATTGCTTTGCTTGCTTTCACTTTTTTTTTTTTTTTTTTTTTTTTTTTTTTTTTTTTTTTTTTTTTTATTTCTATGCAGCGGGCAAACCCACATCTTTTGCCAGTTAAGCAGCAATGCCGAGCCAGCCGGACGGTCCAGCCAGAGAGTTACCCCCTCGTTGGTCCATTGCCAGCCTGGGAAGAAAAAAGTGGGCGGCTTTCCGCTTCCAGTCTTGAGCGCGACGGGTTCGACCTTTCCGCCGCTGACAGGTTGCCGCTCCAGTGGTTTGGCATCTATGGCTCGCCCTCCCGATCGTCCTCACCTTTCATCATAACGCACTGGGTTTCACGGTGGTGGTGAAGGACGAAGAACAATCCAATATTTACATTCAGGGGAGAAAAGGGACGAAGAAGCATGACTGACTTACGCCTATTTCGTTACTATCACGACGTTTCTTCAACCCCTCTGCAGCTCTACCCTTAAACGGAGACCTGTTCTCTTTCCCGGATCCGCCGAAGTACAACCCCCCCCCAATCCCCTCTCCTCAGGAGGGTTGCGCTGGATCTGCTCGGGGGAGCTCGTGTGGTTGCATAGGCATACCATTGCTCCCTCAAGTCATTTTTCACTCACCTCTTCCGTCTAGAATCACTCCGCGGTCTCCGAAACGCCTCTCCATGATCTCTTGTTGGACGGTTGCCCATCTTGTGCAACGGATCGGTCCTACTGACCGCGAACTACGATGACGCTTTTTAGCCCGACCACGGTCCTCGTGGGCTTCCTCCTCCTCTACCTCTCCTCCTTCCTCATATTTGCTATCGTCCGGATTGCGACCGGAATTTCGATTCAACGAATAGGATATTTTTCTCTCCGCCGCATCGCATATGTCCCCCGAGATGGCGTCCAGATCGAACTCCGTGGCCTCGGCCTCTCTCTACACCCGCCCTCGTTTGCGCAACCGACATGGCTCAGCATTCGCCTGACCGAACTAAAATTGACTCTGGACCCTTCAGCTTTGGCAAAGGGGAAGAAGTCCGCCACAAAGCCCGATGCATCGGTTTCGGAAGCCCCGTCGGAGAAAGAGTCGTCCACCGCGCCGGATAATCGGGAAGACAGCTCTTCTATACCTAAGCGGAGCAAGACATGGCGGAAGTTGACCCGCATGAAGGAGCAAGTGAAACGACTGCATCGGCAAATACATTGGTTGAAGTTGGTGGATGTGGTAGCCGTCAATACGACCATCAATCTCGTGGAAGCTGGTCAGATCCAGGTTGGATCTTTATCCTTGGGTGTCGATACGAGGCGCAAGATGGTCGATCGAGGGAAACTCTTCTTTCGGCGCAAGAACCAGGGCCCTGACGAGCATCGACCGGCAGAGTGGGTGATGAACGTACAAAACGTGCTACTCGGGATAGATGGAGCGGAGCCAACCGAAGTGCTGGACAATGTTCGGGTCAATATACATGGGCTTCTCCACAAAGATCTCGAGGGTCTAAGAGATGCGTCTATCGCTTTTAAAATTGGGCGCATGCATATCCCGTACGATGATGTGATGACTCTGATGCAGCGCGTCAAACAGTCTCGGCAGTCGTCGGTGGAGCCCACCAATATTGAGACCGATGACGAGGTCTCCTTTTCAGACTTTGTGGAGGAGCTGGATCAGCCCGGAAGCCGAGACGACACCATTGTGCAGGCAGTCGCTGACTCCAAGGAGTTTGCTGGGTCAATCCTTCGGGGTATACAAGGGATACAGGTTGCTCTGAGCTTCTTCAGGTTAACTCGAGCTTTTGAGCCGCCTTCGTCAAAACAAAATCCCGTGTATCTGAACGTGGTATCGCATGAGCTAGGCATTGATCTTCACCGAATGGACCAAAAGAGTCCTGCTCATCGCATGTATTTCCAACGCGATGATGTCGCCCATCAAGCTCTCCTGGCGGCCATCTCTTTGTCGGTCACTTTGGATGATTGCTCAGGTGAGACGGACAACATACTTTATATCCCAATGGCGACCACAACCATCAAGACCACGCTCCCTTCAAAGACGATCAGCTCCTTCGACGACCACAACCCGGAGGAGCGCAATACCAACATACTATTTGCTAATTTGGTGGTGACGTCCCCATCACTCGATCTAGAGCCAAAGCAGGTCTCTCGGCTCTTAGGGTTGACTCAGGCGAAGAAGGCGTCTCCTCGTGGAAAGAAGAGAGATAATCATCGCTTGATTTCCAGGCTTCTTCCCAAAGCCAGTATCAAAGTATCGGTCCACGAACCCGTGGTTCGATTTGTCCTCCCCATCTCCAAGCCTTCCGACACCCCTGACGACGATTATAATCTACTAATTTCCTCTATCTCCTCTATTTCTCTCGACATCGAATCCTCACATTCGTCCGAAGGCGGGGTTCACTATTCGCTATCTTCCATTTACCGGGTGGCGTCGCATCAGCTGTACTATCAAACTCCGTCCGGTGTGAAACATAATCTTCTGACGACTGAGAGCTTGGAATTCAAGGTCCTACTTAGTGCCTCGCCAGAAGTCCGCGTGATTGCTTCTGGGAGTTTGAATACCTGTTCTGCACACATGGTCAACGATGAAGTGAACCGTGGCATTCATCAGGTGCTTGAGCAGTTCCGGGCTCAGACGCGGCACCGAAGGAAGGCCTCTATGTCATTTGAGGAACGGAAACCTAGTGTTCTCAGGCGAATCCCGCCATGGTTGCTTCGATTTCAATTCGAAGCCACTGGCCTCAGCTTGGAGATTGCTGGTGTTGACACGAGTGTCTCTGAGGTGTCACGTGGTGTCTCATTCCAGCTACAATCGTGGACTGCAGACTACAGAGCCCAGAAGTCAGAACCAACCACAGTCAGCTTTGCGAGAAGGCGAACCCCAAGTCACTCTTACATTGGAGATGAGTCGTCCTTCCGGTTCCCCCCTACGTCGCCTCCGAGACAGAAACAAGTGGGTGCCACAGATGGAAGACGGCTAGCCCTCCATGTCCGCGGCTTCGAGGGGTTTGTCATTGAATCCGAAGACTATTTGGAGGCCGAGCCCTTTTTCTCACTACCGAGATTCGAGGTGGCCCTAAGCACGATGAGTGATCGTCTTGGTCCGATTAGTAACCTCAATTCGGTGTTCAAGGGCGTTTACCTACAATACTCCCTGTACCGCTACTATTGCCTCGGTGTTGCGATGTCTGTGGTTCAGGACGCCTTTATGCGAAAGTCACCGGATATTCCTGAAACGCCCATGTCCCCTGTTCAAAAGGAATTCGCTTACCCCCCATCACCACGTCCGTCAGCGAGGGGCGAGCTCATGACATATGATGTCCGAGCAACTGTCATACAGCTCAAGACCTTTATGCCTGCGGATCCTCCAATGCTGGTTCAGATCTACGGGTTGACCGCTGGCTCGCATCGTCTCTCCGCTCCATTTGCGAAAGCACATCTCATCAGGTTACACGCAGAAGCGCCGAAGCTCAAAGGTGTGTGGGCTAGAATCATAAGCATGAACAACGTTCGCATTGATTTACGCAAGATGAAACTCAAACATGGCACCAATCTTGTCGAGCAAAGGAGTATAGATGTCTGGGCTGATTTCATTCGATTGGGTGTACCGCATCACATGGTAATGCATCGCATATTTGACAACGTGATCAATACCTCAAAAGCACTTAAGCAGCTTCATGAACGCTTCAAGGGACACTCAGCTGAATTCGGATCAGTCAGAGAACCGGAAGAGCCCAAGAAAATTCCCAGGGTGTCGTTGCGCAGCAAGGCTCTGCTATTCGAGTTGGAAGATGATGCTTTCGAGTGGAAACTTGGTTGCATTTATCGCACCGGCCTTATAGAACAGCACCAGCGCTTGGCCCGCGAGGAGGCATTCGAGCTGAAATTACAAAAGATCAAGGAATCGGATCAGCGCCGCTCTTCGTCGAGACTTCGAGCTCGATCAAGCCACCGGACACTTCGTAGTGAACGTGTTAGCGGAGAGTCCAGGAGGAGCAAGAGTGCCGACCCTAAACCGCGGAAGAGCTTGCAGGATGACAAGCGTGGCCGAGGAAAGAAATTCCGCTATGATACCGAGGGAGCTGCCTGCCTGTCTTGCGAAGCCAAGGTTTCAGCCGATAATGCCTGGTTTCGTCTTCAAGAACACAATTCTCGGTCCTGGAAGGACAAGATCGATTCTGCCCTACGATTCCAGGGCACGTCGATCAAGGAAGTGCGAAACCTTTTCTCCGGTGCTGATGAGGCTCCTGAAGATGTTCAAGAAACGGAAACTGTACTCTCAATTCCGAACAGACCTGCCCTCTTGGCCGCTTTGATAAGTGACATCAACCTTGTCATTGACAAACCCTTCTTCCCCTTGGAAGATTACCCCAAATTCCTTAATACCATCGGCAAAGGCATGCCGATGTCCATGAAGTATGCGCTGCTTGTTCCCATGAGTATACAGTTGGAAATGGGAGAGGCGCGCGTCAACCTGAGGGACTATCCCTTGGATTTGCTGCACATACCAGCTTTACGTCCCGGTCAGTCTCCAAGGCTGCCCAGCTGGTCTCTTCGAACAAACTTTGTCATTGCCGAAGAGTATCGTGACTATAAGTCGGCCAGACAAGTTAAACTTGAATTGGTACCCTCTACGGAGCTGCCAGATGGGACCACGAGCCCTCCTTT